CCAAACAGGCTTCGGCCCTGTTGCTTTTTGTAACTGTTATCCTCCCAAAATATCAAGCTATTGCTGTGGTTACTCTTTAAACCAATCTTTTTTCACTGGGTCATCTCTGATACCATGGTGCAGTTGGAAAATCTAATTCAAGTACTTCCAGATGAGTCATCTGTGAAAGCCATCATGTGAATGCTAATCATGAAGTTACCACACCTCACCTGCTCAGAGGTATGTGGAAGAGGATCATCAAAGGGAATTTAAATGTGTAGACATGGCAGTAATCAGTGCTTTTCCTCTTAGTTCTTCAGGACTCATTAAATGTATTTAGAAAAATCCTGAGAAAATAAATCTAAATTAGAATTTTCCAACCAGTGGTCTGTAAGGTGCAAGACATATTTTAACTGCCACACACCTGCTTTTCCTCCACAATTTGCTTAGGGATATGACTATAAATCTGTTCTTCTTTCTCATCCCTCTCTTTTATCTTATTTCCATAGATTGAAATAGAGAATGTTTAGAGTTTTCCTTTCCATAGTACTGTTTTTATCAGGAAGCATCTCCTGAAACCAGTCTCTTTCTGTCATTTGGTTTGATGTGATGGCACAACAGGTTATTGGGACTCGCCTTACCCATCTGGTCTGTCCTATGCAAAGGTCAGAGTCAGCTGGCTCCAACTCTCAACACAGCCAGCACAGTATTAAAAGCAAAACAAAACTGGTCTGGAGAATTTAACTTTGGCTATACAAGATGTTAAACATTAGGAAAAGCTGGGTGAAAGATCTACAAGAACTCTCTGTACTGTTTTTGTAACATTTTCTCTAAGTCTAAAGTTACGTATTTCAAAATAAAACTTTTTATAAAGCCCTCTAGAACCCTCTATTTTTGCCTTGTAGATAGCTGATAGCCTGAATTTCACTAATAATTCATTTTAACTGAAATAAATGGCATGAAGTTCATAAATAATTCACTTTAATCTTGCACTAACTTTTTCAACTATTTTTCCTAACATCCTCAACTCCTGATCACATAATGCCTGAAATTCATTTCTATAGTTTGACACTTGATGCTGGCCATCAGTTTCTGAACTTTGTCTGCTTTTCTTAAGAAACCTTTAGTTTTAGATTATTCAGCTCACCCATCTAAAATGGGCCCAGAATCCTTCCTAAGATGTAGGTCAGGCTTCCTGGGCTCACAACTGGACTAGTCAAAGTTAATCTTTCAGAGAGCCACCATGGATGCCCACCACTTTCAAAGCTTACAGGTGTTCTCCACAGAAAAGTGAGCATGGTCAGCTTCACCTTTTACTCTCTTCCTGTCAGAGACATCACTGTTAGCCTTCTTTCCAAGGTCAGAACTTGACCCTGGGAGAAGGTTGACCTCCAGTATCTTTCCCATTAGCTTGACCACTTAATCCCTAAGTCAAATTGACCATAAGAGGGAGTTGTGCCCTGGCCCATGTGGCTCAGTTGGTTGGGTGTTGTCTAGTACAATGAGAGGTTGCTGGTTCAATTCCCAGTGGGGCACACACCTGGGTTGCGGGCTTGATTCCTGGTGGGGGGCATGCAGGAGGCAGCCGATTGATATTGTGCTCTCATATTGATATTTCTCTCTTCTCCCTTCCTCTCTCTCAAACAAAACAAAACAAACAAAAACAGTAAAAAACAATTAAAAAAGAAAAGGGAGTAAGAACCTTCCAGTTCAGGCATTCGTCTTCCAAACTCCCAACTACTTAACCTAGTCTGTTCAAATGGATCCCTGCTCCAGTTTCCCCTGACATAGACTGCTATACTACATTCTTACTGTTTAAAAAATTAAAATACCCAAATCACCCATAATTCCATGAAGCAACAAAAAAGAAATAGCGACTGTGAATTAAAAAGAAAAACATAATATATTTATATTTATATTCTGGTATGCTTATTCTTAACTCAATAAAAAGGTATCTACCAGAAACTTACATGAAACTTCTAACAACATGCACAAGAGTTAAACATGCCCTTTAATGTTGGGAACAAGTCAAGGATCACTGCTATGCTGCTAATATTTAAAATAGTATTGCAGAGGCGAACCAAGATGGTGGCGTAGGTAAACACTGGTACTCACCACCTCCCACAACCACATCAAAATCATAACTAAAATACAGAATAACCATCATTCAGAACTGCCTGAAAGCTGGCTGAATGGAAGTCTTACTACAACTAAAATAAAGAAGAAAGCACATTGAGACTGGTAGAAGGGGCAGAAGTGTGAAACGGGCTGGTTTGACCTCCACATGTGGTGTTTTTTTAACCAGTAGGGATATCTCAGCTGTGGAGGTTTCCTGTGAGGAACAAGGGGTCCCAGCCCCACACCATAGCCCCATCCCAGGGTTCCAGAGCTGGGAAGAGAAGTCCCCAGAACTTCAGGCTGTAAAAACCAGCAGGGATTGTGGCTGAGTGACACAGAGGTTGGTGGAGACCCAGGCAGTTCCTCTTAAAGGGCTGGCAGACAAGCTTACTTGGACTCACTCCCTCTGAGCTCCAGGGCTGGGGCAGTGGCTGTGGGGATCCAGGGAAATACGGGAAGGAACTGCATTGTCTAGCATTGGAGCAAAAATGCAGGGACAGCTTTCTTCTGGACAGGGGTGCTCGCAGGGTCATTGTTCCTATGAGGAGACTTCCCCCATCACAGAGCTGACTGGCAGCCATATCTGAGGTTCCATCAGAGTGGCTCACACAGGAATAGTGGCTATTAACCAACCATCAAATAAAAATGCATAACAGCCCTAGCTGGTTTGGTTCAAGTGGATAGAGCGTTGGCCCGAGGACTGAAAGGTCCCTGGTTCAATTCCGGTCAAGGGCACATGCCTAGGTTGTGGGCTTGATCCCCAGTGGGGGGCGTGCAGGAGGCAGCCGATCAATGATTCTGTCTCATCATTGATGTTTTATCACTCTCTCCCTCTCCCTTCCTCTCTGTAATCAATAAGAATATATTTTAAAAATTTTAAAAAAATGCATAACAGCCCCAAAGGTGGAAAACAATATATTAATTTATTTCCAAGAAAACAACATATAACAGCATCAAAAACAAAGACAGATTCAGTAGTTTTGGGTCGTCTCCTTGGAAAGGAGAAAGCCACTAGTCCAACACTACACACTTCCAAGATTAAAGTATTAAAGACACAGGAGAGGTGACTAGCAATAGACATGTAAACATCTATTCCAAAAGATTTCTCATTCTATGTGAGAATATCCAGTGTAAAACATTTCTTCTTCTAGGTGGTGTCATTTAAGTAAGTTGAAAAATGACTTTGCCATTAGCTCTTGGTGTGTTCCCTAACCCTCAGCCCTTTACTACCCAATGCACTTCCATCTTTTTAGGCAGCAGGAACAAAGAAGGCTTTATTTCAGTCATTCTCTTTAACTATGATTAACATTCAACAGGCACAATTATAGGAAAAAAAGAAAAATTGTGTTAATTAAATGCATCATTAGTTGAAGTAACTGTTTTTCATGAGGATAAATAAATACTAAGGAGCTCAATGGATTGCGGTTCTCAACCTATGGGTCGCGACCATCGGAAAACACATATAGCATATCAGATATTTACATTATGATTCAGAACAGTAGCAAAATTACAGTTATGAAGTAGCAACGAAAATAATTTTATGGTTGGGGGTCACCACAACATGAGGAACTGTATTAAAAGGTCGCGGCATTAGGAAGGTTGAGAACCACTGGATTAGAGGAATACAAAAGTAGACTTCACACTTTTCTAAGGTGACATGACATTTTCTCAATATTAACACTGAGATCATTCTTAAATATATATTTTATTGATTTTTTACAGAGAGGAAGGAAGAGGGATAGAGAGTTAGAAACATCGATGAGAGAGAAACATCGATCAGCTGCCTCCTGCACACCCCCCACTGGGGATGTGCCCACAACCAAGGTACATGCCCTTGACCAGAATCGAACCTGGGACCCTTCAGTCCACAGGCCGACGCTCTATCCACTGAACCAAACCGGTCAGGGCTGAGATCATTCTTAAAACCTACCTTATCTGGCTATATTTCACCTTCTTTAATATTCCACCCCCAGGAAATGAACTAAGACCAGTAGGAGAATCCCAATTGTCAGACAGAGAGCTTGTTTCCTAATGCTTAGTAACAACCTCTCTAAGCTTCACTCACTTCATCTGCAAAACAGGGGTAATGAGGACCTCACTAGAGTGCTGTGAGGTTTAAGTGCAGTGAGCTAGCAGAATGTCTTGAACACATAGGCTTTTTTAGCTTCCTTCCCTTCTCTCTTTTGAGTGATCTCTGACTTAAACCTCAGTTTGTAATTACTGAGATCCTTGGTTCGATATCACAATCTGTGAATGTATTAAAATACAACCATTATCTAAGGTTCTCTAGAGCAGTCTATGCAACCTTCACATTACCAAGATTTTTAGAGTGAAAAAGCTTGTGTCTTACTTTTCCCTCTTTGTCTCAGCATGTGTCTGGTGTATAGTAGACAATAAATATTTACTGACTGCATGCTGAATGAATTGGATGAGGGAATGGACAAGAGATAAATGGCAGGGATGTTTACCCACAATTGAAAGCTCTTACAAATCTAGGCATTCTTATCAGCACCAGACATTGTTAAGCCACTCAGAGAACACTATAGCATTGTTAAAGCCTCAAGGAAAGAATTTGGTCTCCATTTTGCAGTTAAGATAACTTTGGTGGGGGTGGAGGGTGGTGGCAGAAGAGATTGGTTCATTCTGAGGTATAAGAGACTTGAGACTAGATCCATGCAATACCACCTCTCTTCTAGGAGTTTCTTCATTCTGTGAGAACTTTTCAGCTTTCTCAATGAAAAATGATGAAAGGGGGATCAGAGCACATTCTGATATAATCGAGAAATGGTCTGCTTCCCCCGGGGTCCTTTTACTGAAGCAGCAGGCAGTGACTGCTTAAAGCACATTCTGCCTCCTGTTAATGACTTTATACAGAACTTCAGCAAGAAAACTGAAAATGCTAGTGCTAAAACTCAGGAACAGGATCTAGTTCTTCAGTTCTAGTAGCTCAAGTTTGAAAGGAGATCGGTGAGTTATCCAGAAAGCTGCTTGTACATCTATGTACAGTTGAGCAAAGAAGAGTGGTGTTCATTAATATGTGGCTATAGGTCTGTTATAAAAGATTCCCTCTTCAAAGAAACCCAGTTCTTCTCTCCTAAATCATATTACATACACTTCTCCTTTCGATTAGAACATTTATATATAGTGAATATCTGGTGCAAAGATGTGACAATAGTGAAAATGATCATTGATCAGAACAACAAGCTGGCACAGAGGTGAGCATCAGGAAGCAGCCAGAGTGGACAAAGGGCCAGGACCGCTCTGCACAGCCTCCTGTTATTGTCCAGTGGATATTTCAACATATAGTAGTGGAGCCAGATCCTGAGGTCATGACCTCAGTCCTGAAACTGTTGGCCAAGGTGAAGTCCTCTCTCAAAAGCTCTTCTTCCCAACAGCGACTTCCCTTCAATCACAAGTTGCAGGCGATCAAAAATACCAGCTGGGTTGTATTGCAGTTTCACTCTGATTTAAGGTTCGTTCTCGAAGTCTCAGTTCTAGGCATTCCACAGTAAGGGGGTATGTAGTAAGTTCAAACTTGTTAGCAAAAAGGCTCGGCGAATTAATCAACCACTTTAAGTCTCCATTTCCATAGATACAAATGCCACGCACGTAGTGGCCTGCAAAGGAGAAAACAAAAAACATCAAACATGCTTGCTTTCAAAAGGCAGGGGCCATGAACTTGCAATGGTCCAGTTACTGCCTGACTACTGAGTAGCCAACACTGGACCAAGTGCTATGGAATTCTAATGAAACATGATTGTGTAGGGCCAGCCTACAAAGAAGTTCAACGGTTTATGGAAAGACCAAGGGCATAAATATGTCTTTGGAGAAAATGAGAGTTAAATAACAAAGCAATAACACACTAGGCATCATGAGGCAATTCATGTATTATCTTATTAAGAGTTATGGGTGAGAGGTTCTAGAAATGTGCAGATGGCTTAATGGGTCACACTGGTCAGGCCTCTTCCCTGAGCTCCAGTCTAGTCTCTCTAAGTGCCTACTTTATACCCTCTCTTAGATAAGTAATAAACCTAACCAATAATAACATGTCAGGACTGAACTCCTTAGTCCTCTCCAAGTCTTCCCCATTGAAATCCACAGCAATTCTATTCTCTGATGATTTCAGCACTTCTCCCTTCTCTTTCACACTCCACATCCAACTTCTCAGCAATTCTGTCAGTTCAATCTTCAAAATATTAAAATAAAATTTGACTACTTTTCACCACCTTCACTATTACCATCCTGGTCCAAGTCACCTCCATCTTCCTGTCTTGAGCTGTTGTAATAATAATTGGTTTCACTGACTCCACCTCTGCCTGTTAGTAATATTCTCAGCATGATAGCCACAATGAGTTTTAAATGTAAGCAGACCATGACTCCTCTGCTTAAGTGGCTTCTCATCTATGTGGAACAATAGCCAAAATCCTAGCAATGGCATTTAAGACTTCTCAGAGTCGGCATAGCTCAGTGGTTGAGTGTCGACCTATGAGCCAGGAGGTCACAGTTTGATTCCCCGTTGGGGCACATTCCTGGGTTGCGGGCTCGATCCCTAGTGTGGGGCATGCAGGCAGTCGGTCAATGATTCTCTCTCATTATTGATGTTTCTATCTCTCCCTCTCCCTTCCTCTATGAAATCAATAAAAAAAAAAATATATACTAGAGGCCCGGTGCATGAAAATTCATGCACTGGAGGTGGGGTGTCCTCAGCCCGGCCTGCCCCCTGTCACAGTCCAGGAGCCCTCAGGGGCGGGAGGCAACCCGGCAATCAGGCCACTGCCAGCAGCACAAGCCTCGGCCAGCCCTGGTTACCTGAGCCTCGAGCAGCCCTGAGCAGCTGGGGGGCTGAGGGCAGGTCCAGCCACACCTACGCCTGAGGTGCCCCCTCCCTCCCACCCTCGCGGGGTTGAAAGGACTGGGGGACTCCGGTGGGGCTGAGAGGACTGGGCGCTGCCATCTTGTGGCTATGGACGCTGCCATCTTTGTGACAGAGTGATGGTCAATTTGCATATTCCCTCTTTATTAGATAGGATTAAAAAAAAGACTTCTCAGAGTCTAGCCCTTGGACTTACCTCCCACCACTTACTCAATCACTTATAATCCTTAATAACCCTTACTCATTCATTTTGGACACACTGGCCTTCTTGCTGGTCCCAAGCACACCAGGCATGTTCTACTTGAGAATCCCTGTTTGCTCTTCCTCCCCTGGACTGCCCCCTTTCACCAGACATCCTCGAGGCTCCCTCTTGCACCACCCCAGGTCTCTGCTTCAAGGCCATCTTCTCAGAGTGGCCTTCTTTGTCCCCCTTTCCTCTTTCCCTGATTCATTTTTCTTCTCGCACTTATTACTAACTGATGTATATATATATCAGTGCCATGAAGGAAAATAGTATTTTGTTTATTGTCTTTCTCCCCAGATTGGAATATAAGCTCCAGAAGAGCTGGCATTTGAGACCAGATTGTTCACTTCTGTGTCCCCTGCATCTGGAACAGTGCCTGGTAAATATTAGGTATTAAATTAATACTTTTTGAATAAAAGGATGGAGAAGGAGGAGTGGAGAGTTAGTGGAAGGGTAGAATTAGCAAGTATCAGGGGAATGGGTGGTGGTTTCAATTGGGGAAAATGCCTCTAAAAAACTGTAGAGATGAGAATTTTCTGCAAGAATAAGTAGTTTTATTGGGGAATGGCCTAGAAACAGAATGGTAGGAAGTTGGAACTCTTTTTCAGAGGTTGCATGGCATAAAGTAGAACTATTATGGATGACTGACTTAAAACAAATTAAAAAGACTTGTGCCTTTTTTATCCCATAATTATGGAGAGTTTTTGAAGATTTTTGAATAGATGAATCAAATGGTGAAATTCATTTGAGCAATATTAATTTTGCAGAACTTGGCGGGGTACATTAGAAGTCAATCAAGAGACTACAGTAATAACTTAATGTAAACCAGAAAGCTCATTCAAAGTTAATAGTTTCCATGAGTGGGAAAGAAAGGATATTAGAGATAGAATACAGAAGGACTGACAGGTCTTGATGATTAATTCATCGTGGCAGGGAGGAAGTACAATTGAGAGGAAATCACTGGGGAAAGAAGCCAGAGTTATGGGAAGTAAAAGAATAACTGGGTGAGAAGTTTAAGAACAACTTGGTGGTGAGGAGAACTGAACGCATAGGCAGCATACCCCTGCTTAAAAAATGGAAATGAACAGGAGAGAATACTTCAGTTTGTATCAAGCAGAGGGTGCGTGGACAACTTGATCTTGAGGACAGAGGCAGTAAGAACATACTTGCAGAGAGAAGGAAAAAAATCATCAGAGAGAAAGACACTGAGAATGCAAGAGAGCAAGGGGATCATGTAGGGGACCCACACATAACTGAGACCACAGATGGTGACCTTGGTGGTGAGAATGAGTAACTTTTCCTCTTGAAATAGGAAGGAGCAATGAGAGACTGTGTCAAAAATACTGTAAGATGGAGAAAAGGGATGATATGGAAAAGGAATTGGTAAGGGGATTTTGATTAAATGTCTTGAAAGTTCTTCCTAGAATTAAAATATGCATTGTTTGAAAGGGTGTTTTAGCATAAGATTAAGAGCTTAGAGGTGAGCAGGAAAGCTAAAATGGTATATGCTGGGAAGGGCACCAGGAAAATAATGAGGTAGATAAAAGAATAAGTAGGTACTTTGGAGCATCTAGCTTAAGTTAAATGGCAGGTCCCTTACCCATTCTCCAGCAATGTTCTGTTTAGGGAAACACAAGTAGCAAAAAGCAGATGCCAGTAAAGATCAAGTGTAGGAGTCAGCCTTGCAGGGTCAAATGGCGAGGGAATCTCAAATGCTAGTGAAGACAGCATGGGATGGCCAATAGAGTACAGAGGCTGGACAAGGAGTCCCCGGAAGGAAACCAGTACAAGGAAGAGGCTGGAAAAGTTGAACCTCTGAAAATCCCAATTTAAAAAAAGCAAACACATTTAAAATAACAATGAACAATTTGGTCAAAAATCCTAGCCCTCTTAGAGCTTCTATTCTGTTCCCGGGAGAAAGTAAGTATATATAATACGCCGAGCTCAAAAAGTTCGCCATCACTGGAATAGACTGAAATTTCTGTACAGTGATGTGAGGATGTTGCCATCCACAGTGGGGTGGGACTCTCAAGAGAAAGACACCAGAGACATGGAAGCATGGAACAGAGTGTGGACTCTCAGAGGGAGGGCAGGGGAAGGTGGGTGAGTGGAAGGTAATCAACCAAAGACCTTGTATGCTCATATGCATAACCCATGGGCATAGACAATAGGGAGCTGAAGGTCTG